TGGTCCCGCAAGGTCATCCTCATGATCGGGTTAGCCATCTTCGGCATTGGGTCACTGGCGTCATCCCTGGCCCAGATAGCCACACAGCTCATCATCTTCCGCTGCTTGACCGGTTTTGGAGGCGGCGGGCTCATGACGGTTGCGCAGATGATTGTCAGTGACGTGGTGCCGTTGCGAGAGCGAGGCAAATACCAGGGTATCCTGGTAAGTTTCCCGCGAGTCCTGCACTCCTCCCACCAGTGGATTATCAGATCCATCAGATTAGATTAGGCGAGACGCCGTCGGTTCTACATCTTCCACACCCCCCAAGCTAATGTATGTGCCTCGTTGATCTAGGGAGCGGTCACTGCGCTGGCCAATGGAATCGGCCCCGTGATCGGTGGTGCCCTCTCGTCTCGCGGGGGCGACTCCTGGCGTTGGATCTTCCGGCTCAACCTGCCGTTGACGGCACTGTCCGCAGTATGCGCGCTATTCTTCATGCCACTAAAGCGAGTGTCGGCCGAATGGAGGGTGTAAGTGCTGCGTCCAAATGTGTCCAGGTTTGCATATGTTGACGGCCCAATGTAGCAAGCTGCAGGCCATCGACTTCACCGGAATCCTGCTAGCGTTGGCCGGCACCACCAGTCTCATGCTCGGCTTGACCTGGGGCGGCGGTCAGTACCCCTGGAACTCTGCGGCTGTCCTCGCAAGCCTGCTCGCCGGTCTGGCCGTCTGCGTTGCCTTTGTTCTATGGCAGTGGAAAGGGGCGAGCTACCCGCTCATGCCCGGTACGTCCCGTTCGGCACTTCTCCTCCTTTCTAATTCCTGCAGACGGCTTACTCTGGTCCCTGTCGAGGGGTTATAGTGGACATCTTCCGTTCTCGAATGACGGCAGGGGCATGTATCACCATGTTCATCAACGGCTGGAACTTCGTCGTGCAGGTCTACTACATCCCCACCTTCTACCAGCTCGTCTACAGTTACGGGGCTACGAAGGCCGGTGTCATGCTGCTGCCCATCACGCTCGTGCAGACCGCAAGCAGCACCCTCTCCGGGCTGATAGTTCACTGGGTGGGACGGTACCGTGAATGCATCCTTTTTGGCTGGGCTTGCTGGTCTGTCGGCTTGGCCCTCATGTCCACCTTGGATGAGACGTCAGGCTTGGGCAAGCAGATCGGATATTCCCTGCTTATTGGTATAGGGGTCGGAAACACGCTTCAGCCGTAAGTCTCTGGGTCTCCCTGGCTGTTTTCAGCCCCCCTTTGGCTGATTTAGTGATCCTAGAGCCTTAATTGCGATCCAGGCAGGAGTGCCACGAAAGGATATGGCGGTTGTTACATCATTCCGCAAGTAAGTCTTCTGGCAACCCCCTGGCAGTAAAATGACCATCTTCTCATCTTTTGTCATAGCTTTGTCAGAAATCTAGGAGCCACTTTTGGGCTTGCCATCTGCGGGACAATCTTGTAAGTCAGTCCATGAAATTTGTGAGAGTGTTAGTTGTGCTAAGTGATATTCGAGAAACAATGTCGTCCGAAATTCGGTGGACAGCCTGGATTTGGAAACTGAACCTCGAAATGATCTACTCCGTAACCCACAGCAATATCTGTCGACCCTGTCTGATGTAGATGCCGAGCACATCGGTGCCGCTCTTTCGCCTGCCTACCGGCGGTCATTCAAAATCATCTTCCAACTTGGCGCGGGCCTCGCAGCTTTTGCTTTTTTCGTGGCTGTCTTTCTAATGCCACATATTGACCTGTCTCGCCCAGACGATGCCAAACTGAAGGAGGAAGGTCGCCAACCACGTGTCAAGGAGAAATCCGAGGCATCTGCATGAATTAGAAAGAGGAGAAATGATCTGCAGTTTCATTGTCAATAGACAGTTGACTTGGGTCCTAAACTCAGCAAGGTTCCCGAGTCCCGAAAAGATGATGCCATTTACGCTACAATAGATTGAATAAAGAGCTAGAATTAGCACTTTTAGAATGCATTGATCACTCCTTCCTTTTCAACTAAGCTTGGCAATAAGCATGATGATCAATATTGTGAACTCCACACATGCACCTTGTTGTTCTTCGTAGTGAGCTGAACTAACTGCCGACGGTAACCATGACTGAGCCGCCTAGGTCGTAAAGTAGGAGGGAGTTGTTATGCTTGATCCTCAGCTGGTAACACTAATAATTAGTCGTCAGTAGTTGTCACCAATCCACATCGCGTATGCATCTCGTAAACCGAGCCGCAGATCCCTGACGCTAAATGGCAAGCTGAATTTTCACGCAACAGGCATTGGATGGTCCTGGATTTCTCGCCTGGGGTTTGCTCATTGCAACCATCAAGGTGTGACCATCAAGGTCTTCCTCCAGGCCGTTTTGACGTATGGGGCAATCGCCCTTGGCCAAGCTACCCCTGTCTTCGCATATGCAACCCTATGCAGCCTTGCCTACACTTACACCCCATCCCCATGTACCTCACCAAACCCACATGTACCTCGGAGACTCGGCGCAGGTACTTGGCGTTGGGACTCTGAGCGGGTGGGGAATGTCTGCATCGGCTGTCCTCTACTCGATTATCAATCTGATTAAATTTCAAAACCAGTTTGAGAAACATCTAATGTCTACCTCTTAATCGCTCAGTAGCATTGGACCTCGGAGTTAAAGCGTTTGGAGGAATAATTGTGGATTAGTAGCTGTTCTCGCAGGTTCGTTTGCTGTGACGTTGTCTGTTGCTTCATCGTCATGACTGACCTGAAGGGGAAAAGAGAGCTTCGAAGCTTGGGTTGTATGTAGAGTAAGAGGAGATGGAAATTATTACTGGGAACACTAGTCGCCGATTAAGCTCCGAGGAGAATTGGTAAATCCCAGCTCATGAGTTCCCAAGTCTTGGAGGTCATCGTCATTAAGAGGCATGGCCTGCTATGTTTCCCTCAGTCCATGAAACGTATTCCCAAACATCTCTCAACATGCTTCGTGCTACATCCCTAGCCGTCTTATCCGCCTCATGGATCGTCCCGTGCCTGGGAGCTGCTGATCCTCAGAGGCCTCTACTAAAGGACTTTGACGCTCTCGGCGCTTGGTACAAGGACGTGGCCTCTATCAATGCTACGACATCACCTCAAGATGTCGAGAAAGCCAAGAACACATCCATTGCCATTGTTGGCGCCGGCATCACTGGCTTAGCCACTGCCCTGTTCCTAGATAGCGTCGGTGTCCACAACTGGGAGATACTAGAGGCCAGTCATCAAGTTGGCGGACGTCTCCGGACGCTCTATGTTGGCGATACCCAGGAATGGGCAGAGATGGGACCTATGCGGCTCCCGTACCGGATCAAGTACAAGAGTGACAACGCTACACTCGAATACTCGGACCATGCCATGACTTTCCAGTTGGCAGACTGGGTCAATGAGCTGAATCAAGGCAGCCATGATGATCTCGAGGTCAGCTTCATCCCTTGGATCCAACACTCGCCAAATGAGTTGCTTGGCTTAGGCACTGGCAGACATCCCGATGGCAGCATTCCTACACGAGCAGAGATTGCCGCAAACTCCAGCCTGGGCAAACCAGCTCCGTTGGATACGGAAGAGTACAAGTCCACCAAGGCAAAGATGAACGAGATCCTCCTCAATGAAGCGACTCTCAGGCAGATCCAGAGAGATCCGTGGGGCGTCCACGGCCGTGTCATGAAGCAGGGCCTGGACGACATAAGCCAGCAAAGCATGATGCGCAACTTTTGGAACGCCAGCGCCGAGGTTGTAGATGCCGTACATGGCGCGACTGATTATGATGTCTTTTGGGATGAGATGCACCACAACTCAAACCTCGCCCAGGATGGCAGCAAGAGCACTCTTGGTGAGACGGAGTGGCGATGCGTCGACGGTGGCTTCAGCCGCCTCTCAAATGCCATTCTCCCTCATGTCCAAGACCGCCTGATCCTGAGTCGCCAAGTCCGCAAGATTGAAGCCATCAAAGACGAGCAGGGCAAAACCACGACGGGCACCAAGCTTTCCTGGGTCGATGTCGATGCCAACAGAACCCAGACGAAGCCCCAGCCCCAGCAGAGCAAGAACTACGACTACACCATGCTCACAGCCCCCTTTACCATGACGCGACTGATGAGTCTTCCGCAGTTCTCACCGACCCTCTCGCGGGCCATGGCTGAGCGCGGTCTCCGCTTCAAGGACGCCTGCAAGGTCGCGCTGCTCTTCAGCGAGCGCTTCTGGGAAAAGGGCGAGCGCCCCATCTTCGGCGGCTACTCGACGCCGCCTGACGCCGCCGTCGGTGCTCTCTACTACCCAGTCTACGGGCTCAACGAGACGGGCCGCCCGGGCCTGATCATGCACTACCGCGGCGGCGACTGGAGCAGTCGCTTCGCCAGTCTCAGCGAGGAGCAGCATGTGGGCATGGTCCTTGACGCCATCGCCTCGCTGCATGGCGAGGAGGTTCGTGAGCTGTACACGGGCGAGTATGAGCGCTTGTGCTGGCTCGATGAGCCCTTCATCGCCACGGCGTGGACACGTCCGGACGTGGCACAGCACGCTCTATATATCCCGGCGTACCATAAGACCGAGTCGAATGTCATCGTTCTGGGTGAGCACACGGCGCCTACCCACGCCTGGATCAGCTCCTCGCTCTACTCGGCCGTTCGGGGTGCGGTGCAGCTCCTTCTTGAGATTGGACTGATTGACGAGGCCAAGGAACTTAATCAGCGATGGATGGGTCGATGGGTCAAGACGGAATAGATAATCGGTCATGTATTAGGCGTGGGAATATGGCTATTCTAGATGTATATCTCATGGGCATACCTCTTTGCCTATCGGTGCCCTAGGCCTGGAAAATCTGTAGATTGAGGTGGAATTATTGACCGAGCTAGGACAATGAATGAAAAGTTACAATTGCATCTTATCAAGTGAGTGATTGAGGTGACTGAAAATTATCAAGAAGAAAGAATTGCGACCTATTTATGTACCTGGAGTATTGCTATATCGAACTCCTTCCTTGTTTTTCTATAGCATCTATATTGGATCTTATTTAGAAAAGAATTGGATCACCGCTCATGCTACCACCAACCTGCGGAATCTTCAAGATACCTTCACCCACCAGGTCCATCGTCAGCCGAGCGAGTAGTCCATCGCAGCCCTTCGCAGCCAGAATACCCACTGCAACAGGCAGCTTTTCATCATGGCTCGCCAGGTTACTGAGTTTCGACACCTCGCCTACGGGATATATAAAGTCTGGGCAGCCCGAGAAGACGGACATGCGGGCTGCTGAGAAACCCGTGAAGGGTAAGGGAGGAGCGATATCATACCGGTTCCTCGGGGCCTGCGTGCCTGTCTTGCCGGCATATAGAATGAGGGAAGAGGAGCATTGGAGCGGATCATCGACTGGAGGCAGGATTTCACCATTGAACCAGTCTGCAAACATGGTCTTGTTGTGCAATGCTTCATCCCATGAGTAGTTGGCAGCCCATGCCCAGCGCGCGAGTGGGGATGGGTTGATGAATGGTCGGCGGCCGTCATGAAGACTTGCGTAGTCGGCGAAGAATTGATTTGTCAAGTTGTCTTGGCCTTTGCCTGTAAGTACTGGGTAGGTGATGTTGAACGACTCGGTAAAGTTGAGATTGGCATAAGGGTTCGTCTTGCTTCTGGTCCAGGCACTGGCTACATCCAAGGTGCTTACATTGCCGCCTAGGAACTTGGCCAGCGCTGCGGCAAAATTGTTGAGAAGTCTGCCTGCCTCGGTGCTGGAGTCTGGGTATGTCACGGTCATGATTTTGACAGGGTACTTTGGCTGCGAGCTGGCCAAAGAGGTGTAATTGGACCCGTACATGACGGCCTGCAGTTCCTCCCATAGCGCCGGATCCCGAACAAGGAAGCCAGCGGTATCCAAGGGCTCGGAAAGGGGCATGACATGGTCCAAGCTGACAAGACCATGCGAGGCTCTGTTCCCAAAGACGCCACTGACGCCTGCAGGACTTCGTATGCTGCCGCCCGTGTCTGTGCCCACGGCGGCGTCGAGCCAGTCGTACGATGCCATAGACGCACCGGCGCCGGAGCTCGACGAGGAGGGATCCTGGTAGCCGTCGCCTCGGGGGTTGAAGGGCGAGTGGTAGTCGACCCAATCAACGGTAGCAACCTCGCTCGTCGCGAACTGAGACAGCTTTTGCGTGCCCACAATGATAGCACCCGCCTCGATGAGCCTGGAGATTGCAAATGCAGTGACGTTGCTCGGCGGGTATAAATGGTACCACGCCCTGTTACCGTTGGACCGTTTGACGCCTGTCAGCGAGAATATGTCCTTGACGGCGATGCGGACGCCAGCAAGTGGCCTCTCCTTTGACGGCTTGTAGTACAATCGCGAGGGCACACCGATGGATGATGTGGCGGAGCCGGCAACCTTGGCCGACAAGACCTGGAAAGTGCCGTCATTGTTATCTAGCAATGCCTCAGTAAAGGCTCCGGCAAAATCGTCGTATAGTCGGTAGGCCTGGTGCAGATTGCCGGTTGCTTTATCTAAAAAGTACGGGCCCTCAGACACTGTGGAATCTGCCATATAGCTGGCCACTGTCGAAGTGCCTTGACCAGTGACTTCCACTTTTTGCGTGATTGAGTTACTCAAGGTCTGTGTTTCGTTGAGTATCAGCTGTGAAAATCCGGGCTGGAATACATCATCGGTAGAGTTCCAGGATGAAAAGATAGTGGAGATGTCATCTGGCTGTGTTCCTGGAGGCAGAACAGAGACCGGAGCGAAGCCAAAGACGCAGTCTATGTTGTCAAGTGCATGGGCCTCAAGGGCGACGTTTCCTACGAAATGAGGGTTTATGTAGTATGGAACATTATTCAGGAGAATGGTTGAGCCCGTTGAGATGATTGATGCCGCACAGACTGGGAAGAAGACGAGTGAGAAGAGACGCATCTTGTGCAAGCTCGCAACAATAGAGTTGAACAATGCGGTTCTTGATTGATCTACGGCTTTACATCCTTCATAAACAAGTTGCACCTGCTGTTCGCTTTTGAGGCCACCAAACCACGCTCATCCAAGGCAAATACAAATGAAAGTGTCCGATCCCGGCGGATGCCCATGCCAATCCACAGAAAGATGAGGCGGATCAACGAGTCGCTCAAAGCAAGGTAGCTAGCTACACCTTGAGGCCCGACCCAGAGGTGACATGGGAGGCTACTTTATCAATGTCAGAAGTACATACGTTGCTTGAAACTCCTCTAGCGACACCCCCTTGCCCCGTATGCCCATCTAGCCCCCCTGTAGGTCTCGGTAATCAACTCGGAAGTCGGAACAAACATGGATCATAGCTCTTCACGGGCTGGAATGGCCCTGCCCCTGCAAATCCCTGGGTCCTGCAGGCCCCTCCTCCAGCCCATTTCCCCTCGTTTTGTCCTCTCGCCACCGCCAGTGAGGGTACATGTACGAAGTACTCTGGGACCCGTATTGGAAAATGTCGGCAGCATGCTACGTCAGCCTCGGAGTTAGTCGCCGAAACGAAAAGAGACGTGATGCGTATAGACGGCCATACCTTTCCAAGGACAGGGAGAAATTTGGCTCCATGTCCGCTCCCACCCGTGCACACGAACAAGGATTGATCGTCATACGACGGGACGTAATCAATCTAGGGGATCCGGTCAGTGTCGGCCTTTTCTTTGGATTGGGGCGCTTGGTCGAGGGGCCGGGAGAAGCTTACCAGGAACGAATTGTCAAGGGAGTCCGTGTACCAGCAGAATTTTGTGGAATTGAATGGTCTGGTGGCAAATTCAGGGAGGAAGATGGACACGAACTGGCGAATAGCTTCAGTGGCAGGCTCGGGGAGCGACTTGGACTGGGCAGATGGAAGTGGAATTGACCACTTGCCATCCTGTGTGAAAGCTGTCCCCTGAGGCGCGGGCACAAAATTCGTAAACTACCAAGATGCTGCTTTGAGTACAATCCTACCTCTCGGATGATCAGGGGGGGGGCCACTCACCTTGATGCCTCGGTAACCAATCTTGATGAGCCCATTCTCAGTCCTAGGGAACACGTAGACACTTCCTGTATCTTTTCCATTTTGATCTCGAGGCGCGCTCTTCCAAGTCAGCACGGGGAATCTGTCTGGAGCATACTTGTTCCATAAATCAATTTCCGTTTCGTCAATCTTGAAGGTCGCTACACTGCCAGCGGAGGACTCGAGGTGGTATGATAGGTCTGGCAGAATTTGAGTTGAGAATGACCCGGCTAGTTGCACATTCTTAGTTCAATCGTCGCCTTCATGCCGTTCCATTGTAATAGGGTAGTCTTACCGGCAATGATGACAGTGTCACTGTGGTGGAAGACTCCATCGCTTGTCTTGATGCCTACAACCTTCCTCCCATTTTTACCGGCACCGCTCGACCCTCCTTCAACAGCCAAGGATTCACAGCTTCCAGCGTCAGCTCCGACCACAAACTTTACTCCTTGAGAAAGGGCCTTGCCCAAAAGGTAGGCACAGGCTTCACTGCACTTGACGTAGCCAGAAAGGGAATCGAGCACCGCTTCGAAGTGAGAGCCAGCATCCTCGCCAGGGATGTTGAAATCCAATAATTTGTCCTGCCAGCCACGATCGGCAGCTCGCTGGCGGTCATCAGCATTGCTCTTCACAAACTGGGTGTCGCGAAGCCCATCTCTCTCCATGTTAGCCAGGGTTTCCTTCTCCAGCGCCCCCAGATGGGCAGACGGCTGGGCGCGGAGCATGCCACACCCAACAAATAACTCGCTGCCGTTGTCTTTGTTCATCTTCAGCCACTCTTCGCGGCTCTCGAGTGCCAATCTTTGGTAGTGTATTTTGGTCCCATATGACGGCCGCAGCTTCACACGAGAGACAATTAGAAAATGATTCATCAGCGCAGGATTGCAACCTACAATCTTGTTGTGATCAACCGACGCTACTTGGCCATCAGGATGGTGGTCGGGATCGTATCTCGACTGGATGTAATCATGTTGGTCAAATACCGTGACGCTATGACCTGGTCTTCCAATGAGTTTATATTATCCATGAAGCAACTCAGGCATCAATGATACCTTTAGATCGCAAAGCCAGAGACGCAGAAAGCCCAAATATTCCGGCTATTGTACTGTTTAGTTTTGAGACATGTTAAGGACGACACGGTGAAATGTTGAGTACGTACCGCCAACAATGATAACAGTGCGAGTTTGCGACATTGTAATAGAACAGAAACAAGACAGATTTGAGCCTTTGATGTGAGGTGAATGAGAAGCTCAGATGATTCGATTTACATTGTGCAAGATGTGGGCTAAAATACAGGTACTTATTAGGTGATTTGGGAATCTATACTGCTTTGTTATAAAAATAATATATATAGTAGATTAGTAAGAATTTTATATAACTAAATTATAGAGTACTAATAATTATACTAACTTTATAAAGCTAAGTAAATAATTATTTCTAAGAAAAAATATTTAGAGGGAAAAAAAGTAAAGAAAATTTTAAATTAAGAAATTTAGATTGAATATTTAATTTCTTGAGATATATATAGAGTTAATAAAAGACTTAAATGAATTATTATAGTATAGAGCTTTTTTAAAATTTAAGTTAATTCTTTTTATTTATTTTAATATAAGCTAAAAGATTTTTAAAATATTAAGAAAAGTTATCTTAATTATACTAGCTATTCTAAGCTAAAATTAAGTCAGGTGCTTATATAATTTAAGAGCTATATAGACTAAAAGCTTGAAAAATACCTTTTTCGTTAAGAATTAAGAACAAAGGGTTATATAACCATAATAGTTAAGAGATAAAACTCCCCGGAAGGTCCAGAAAGAGGGTAGATGGAGCCAATTCAGTCATCAATCTTTTTCATCCCTTCAATTGACGGGTTCAATAGTTCTTGTAGCTTCTTACTGTGACACCTTCCGCCAACGCCTATCGTCAGAACTTGTCGGATATTTGTAACATAGGAAATGACAAGAGGATGCCTCAGTCTGATATCAACGATGCTTCGTCCTGTAGCAAAAATAACTCGCCCTATAAGAATGATAATTTTAGTCGCTACCCGAATGAGTAGGTTATCATGTTCCTCAAATGGGGTTTGACTACTCATGTTACGGCCTGATATGTCCTGCTCAGAGTTTCTCTCGACATTAATATTTAGACCTTGCTGGTAAAAGAATTCTCGTGCGGGGAGCGTGGCATCATACAGGAAGCTGTGCAGCTGGCCAATAATATTGAAGGTATCAACAAGAAAGATGATATCACGTGAGGGATTTCTTTCAATCAGCTGAGAATCCTACCTAACCTTAGCTGCTTTTCGTAAACCAAACCACATCCTGCGTACTCTTCTACATGGCCTAGATACCATACTTGACGTCAATAAAACGGGATGTTGCGATCACTATGGCTGAGGTACTCGGAATCATTAGGCTCACGTCGAGTATCCTCAAATTTATTGAATTTGGCCTCACAATAACATCTTCTTCTCGCACCATCTATCGAACAGTAGATGGCAAGGTGCCTGAAATTCAAGAGCTAGAGAGGGACTTGGATGAGATTGATAGAAGGAACCAGGAAGTTTTGAAGCGCGATACAACTAGCCCGTTGTCTAAAGCGGAGCGCCAAATAGTGTCCACCGTTAAGGAATGCGACAAGATATCTGGCGACTTGAGAAAACTGGTCGCAAGGCTGGCCAAAAGACCAGCTGCGAAATCTAACGCCTTAGAATCTAGTCGAATCGCGATTCAAGCCATCATGAGCCGAAACGAGCTAGAAACGCTGAGGCAACGCTTGAAACAACAGGACAGGAAAATAAGAGAGGGCTTGCGATCTCTTCTTGAGAGGTGAGAACGTGCTTCACATTGACTTGTTCCCTGGGGGCGAATGCCACTATTTAAGATTTCCTTCTTCTTTAATTTTCATCATTTTCGACCGTGCTCTATATCATGCATCGGAGGTTGTAGCTGCTAACGTTATCAAACTAGAGACCGCCATTCGGAACTAATAGAACAGTTGTCCTCTATCCAACGAGCCCATACTGACCATTATATCAATCATGATATGAAATTTGAAAACCTTCAACAGCAAATTCTCGACATATCCGGCAGCGAAGAAGAAAGCCTAGCCAAGTTAGTGGCTGAGGTGACGAGTCTCCGAACTAAGGTGGAAAGCCTCAACAAGGAGGCGGAGCTATGCAGCAAGCAAGCCAGGGTGATTAAAAGTCTCTACTTCACTGAACTCCATCGCCGATGGGATAAAATTGATGACGCTGCCAAGAACACCAATGCTTGGCTATTTCATTCATCGGAGGTTTCTTTTTCTTCCTGGTTGGAATCAGACAGTAGGAGCATGTATTGTATTACCGGTTTGGTGAGCTACCTTACCCTTCACATTCCAATACATCAAAATACGCCTTGACTAATATTTACTGGTGTGGGCAGCCTGGGAGTGGAAAGTCGACTTTAATGAAATATGCATATGATCACCCAGATACGGTGCTTGGACTCGAAAAATGGGCAGGCTCATCAAGGCTCTGTCGAGCTGCATTCTTCTTCTGGAACCAAGGGTTTGAAATGCAAAAATCCCAAGCTGGGCTTCTACAATCACTCCTCTATCAGGTCTTGAGACAGATTCCTAGCCTTGTCTCACTTGTTGAGGAAAGCAAGCAGCTCCACGAGATTTGGCAATTTAATGAACTGAAATCACTATTCGCTCAGATCATGTCGGAGACTACACTCACTACCAAGTTCTGTTTCTTCATAGACGGACTTGATGAGTATGACGGGGATGAGGAGGATATAGCCAAGCTGCTTTGTTTGATCAGCGAATCGCCGCATATCAAGATATGTGCTTCCAGCCGACCACGTACCGTGTTTGACAAGATACTCTGGTCTGGGCAGTACCTTCTCGCTATGCAACACTTCACGAAGAACGATATGAGAAACTACGTGCAGACGAAACTTCGAGAAAACTCTGAGTTTAGAGCCCTTGAAAAAATAGACCCGGATTGCACGATGGTGATGGACAAAATCGCCGAGGAAGCAAATGGTGTGTGGCTCTGGGTCGACTTGGTAACAAGAGATATTATACGTGCCGCCAATCGGAGTGAAGGGCCGCGGAAATTCAACGAGATTGTGGCAGGATTTCCTCGCAAACTGGAGGAGTATTTTGCACTTATAATAAGCCGAGTCGATCCCGTTTATCGCAAGGAGATGGCCAGAGCATTCCTTGTCACTATTTACGAGGTACAACCTTTACCACTTTATGCATTCTATCTTCTCAATAAAGAGGAGGAAAATGCAGGATATGCCATCCAAGAACAAGTCTCTAGTCTTTCCGAATCCGAGGTCCGAAAGATCGGTCAGACTTGGAAAGCAAGGATCCATAATAGATGCAGTGACCTTCTTATTGTGGACGAAGGAGAGCATCCTGTCTTCTTGATCCAGCCGGTAGACTTCCTTCACCGGACAGTGCGTGATTTTCTCCGAGATTGGTTCCAAGACAAACTTGAAGAGGAGCTTAAAGAATCCTTCGTCCCCCCAGTTTCTCTTTGCCGAATAATGCTCTTCTTCCTCAAGAAGCAGCCTCAGGGCCATTCTTCATCTCTGGTGCACTATAATCGCATGACTGCGCTCGTTGATGAGCTCCTTTATTACGCCCGAGAGGCTGAAAATCATCCCTACTGTCGAGATTATGAAGTATCGCCAGTAGAAGATATCTTGGATGCTGCCGGCCAAGTAAATAGTTCCTTGTTGCAGATGGTCATGAGGAATCACTGGACTCGTGCAAGCGGGCCCCCCAGATCTCGAGGACTAGACCGGTACCACAGGAGAGAACCCTCCAGATCTCAAGGGCTAGACCAGCACCGCGAGAGAAGCCATTGCAATTTTCTTGCCCTGGCTATCCAAGCACGCCTCTTCAAGTACGTCAGAGCCAAACTTGAAGCTGACCCTCGCCAGCTGGTGAACCCAGGACAGCCACTTTTGGACTATGCCCTCCGTCCCCGGCGGGTAACGCCACTTGCACTGCCCTATCACTCGCGAAGGGATGAGCCCAACATTGACCCCAAAATTGTTTTCCTGCTTCTAAGCCTTGGTGCAAAGCCCAATCAGGAGGTGCACTCTCATGGAGGCCACACCGTTTGGGTGTTATTCTTAATCTCTTGTTGGGAGTCTGCCAAACGTGGTGAGGCCACAGAGGTATCTAAAAAGGCATGGTATGAAGTTTGCGAGATGATGATAAAGCATGGCGCGAGCCGCGATTACTTTCCCAGCATCGGGGGACAAGAATTGAACATTGACAATGTTCTCAGCACAATTTTCAGAGAGGACCAGGCTTCAAACTTACTGGAACAGATTAACGACCAGACGCTCAACAGAAGAAATACTTGGAGCAGTTGGGTTTTGTCTTTTTTCTGACGCAAAGTGTTTCTCGAAAAGATTCAAATACATGTTCAATTCAGCAAGAGTGAATATTATATCCACAGTTTTAACAAAGTTAAGAAGAGAATTGCTTATCCAATAGACATTCTCACCTTCTATACACTCTAACTTGATTGACTATGTATACTCTCAATTCCTTTCATTATATCACCTAATACATGACTCAATTGCCTTTCACATTTAATTTAACGCGATCACTATCAGAAGTGTTTACTTAGGTCGTAGTGTGCATCTATATTCCTTGTGTTGAGATGTCGGGTCTCGCATCCCCCCTTGCTGTTTTAACCCTGTACTCGAACTCTTGTACGCCATAAGTGTGCATTTTGGAGGAAGAATCGAAGCCGAGGGTCCTTGAATCGCTTCGCGAGGGAAACTTGTCAGTTTCAAGGTGGAGATGATCTGAGAAATCCGGCTACCCAACATGGAGTATAAGTCTCAGGCTCGACTTCTCTGAATGGTCATGCGCAACTGGGAATGGAAATCAATGGACACCTACTTTCATTGCAAGAAGGAAGGTAAGTACGTACCTAGGTACTTCTGTACGCGACTGCCTTCTACCTGCCCGTCACGTGAACTCGTCTGGCAGCCTTCGTTGTGCCTGAGGTACCTACCTACCTCCTTCCATTTGTTTACTTTGCTGCCTCAGGCTCCCTCTTCTCTTCTTCTCTACCCTCACTTTGGAACAGAAGAAGCAGCCCTTTTTTCTTCCCTCGTCATCTCTCGTTACGTTTCCCAAGTGACTTCCTTCGTTCCAGCTATCGTGCTCCCCTCTTCGTCATGGCCTCAAGCGGAGGCGCAGAGGAGGCAACGCGAGGGCTCCCACTTCTTCCTACCCTCGTGCTGCACCGAATCTGCACTTTCCTTTGCACTCATTGCGAGCCGACGCTTTCTGAACTCGAAGGATCCCAAGAAGAATGTCAAGGCCGGACCACGCTGAGAAATCTTTGCCAGGCCTCCCGACTCCTCCGATTTGTTGCCGAGCCGGTCCTCTATCATCGCGCTCAATTCAAATATCTAGCGATGCCTGGGGTTCCCGATCACTTCGCCAGCTCCTCACTCCGTTTCATCCAAAATATTCACGATCACCCACGACTTCGAAACTATGTCAAGGTTTTAGATGTGCGGGACAGCGCTCGTCGACACCGTAATTCCGACATCGATTTCAAATATTTTTCTCACCACGAGTGGTCAAATCGACGATCGGTGACAGGGCGCAACTTGAAATACATCAACCAACTTGCTGCTCCTTTCGGGATCACTTGCGTCGCTGATAATTTCGTTCCAGATCGCCTGGTGGAAACCTTTGTTCAACTTATGCTAGTCTTCCTTCCTGGTTTGACTGAGCTAAAGTTCTTGGCACAAGGATGCTGGAAATTCCGCCTATTGTCAGGTGCTCTCCAGAATGAGAACTCGAAAATCCCGGATACACTTCTTTCCAAAGTTCGCAGCCTTCGTCTTAACTTTGAAGTCCCGTCATGCAGATGCGATGAGTGTCATGGACCAGATGTAACATTGTTCGAAAGAGGCGCCGAGAAGCTCCTACTTCAAGCTACCGCAAGAAATCTACAAACTCTGGTCTGCTCCGTTGCAGCCCTCAGAGACGCCCCTGATTCACCTCTCCTGGAGTCATTGAGACTAGACATAACGGGCAACTGGCCTTTTTACAACACCTTTCTGGCCCAACTCAAGTGCCTACGCCGGTTTTCTTGCACCTTTTCCAGCCAGCAAGGTCCTGTGCCAGACGACATCATGAAAGCCATTCTGCCTACAGCCCAATCCCTCGAAATGCTGAAAGTTTGCTTTACGGCTCCGTGGTTTCGTTATGGATGGACTAGTCTCGATTGGGAACCTATGGGGTCGGCAGCTCTCGAGGACCTCATGCTTATGTCTCTTGGAAACTTCACCCAACTCAAATGTCTTTCTATCGCGGCCGAGATGATCTTCTCCCAGGCAACAAGCAAATCTTATCCACATTTGGTCCGTCGACTTGAAAGTTTTATCGGTTGGCTCCCAAACTCTCTTGAAATTCTCCATATCAACACGCAAGAATTTATGCAAGAAACCGATAGCATCCTTGAGGCACTCATAGATGCCTTAAGAGAAAATGCGCCCCGCAGCCTGCACAAGATCTTATTCTCTTGTGACTGGGAAAGGTTCAAAATACTCTACCTAGATGAATCACGGGGTTCACCTCAATGGTCAGTTTCTAAAGCTCTTTGGATCGCGTGTTGGTATTCCGGAATAGAATACGAACTTGAAGCCTCATGGGAGCGGATTTTAATGGTAGGGGATCGCTTGATGGATGGATAGTGTGGAGTGGTGTACCGAAGTTGGAGAGAGAGAATCACTTAGAAAGGTGAAAATGGGATACTTTTTACACTGTATGAGAACTTCCTTTCGTCATGATTTCGTTTTAATGTGGTATTTCCGACGGATAGCTCAATAGAAAAGCCCGATAGGTTCTTGTTGCGTGAAGACATCACTTCTTGCAATACATCGTGCGCACCAGTGCTAACATTGTTTTCACCATGTCAGTTGCATCAATTACGTCAGAGACCATGAGCCTTTGCATTAGAACTCCCGTTTTCTAGCTCTCAATATTGGCGTCGTGGCATTCTACAGTAGCAGTTCTTTGCTCTGTGTCTTCGCCAAGCACCCCGCGGAACGCTGTAGCTCCGCTCAGCGTCCCCTCTCTGCGTTCTGGAGCAATGAATCTTGATCGATCAAGTCCCACGACAGACGGAGATGGTGAATCGCGTCGCTATGTGGATGTATGATGTCCTCGTGTAATTGCTCATTCTTGGCCTTTATATAGGCCTTTTTCCCGGGATGCTACCACATCGTCGAGGTTGAAATCGCATGTGCAGTGGCATGTGAGGGTGGTTTCGCATTCTTTACTACCTCGGCTAAACTCTTCCTCGTGATAAATTGATGGTGCAGCATTCTCTGCATTCCCATTCCAGAGGACCAGATATTTCAGCTTGGGCATCCTCAGCGCGTCCTGACTGGCAGCTTAGCAGCGAGCTCTATCTGATGTCTATCAGCGCCATATCTAGGCGCTACAGTGCTAGACTTAGCATAACTTAGCGCCAATGATGGAACATTCCGCCCTGTTGCAGTGTCGCCATGGCTCAATGACGATATTCTGTAGCCAAAGGAGGCTGTGGATTATACGTCGTACTCCTGAGAAATAGTATCCAAGCCAATAAGTTTATCATTAAGTAGAGATTTGTTAAATTCTTGCTGTCCTCAGGTGAGACGGATCAAGCAGCCTACAGGGAAGGAGCAAGCCTGTACTCCAAATTCTGTGGGGTAAATCACAGTCCCCCAACTTCACCGGTTTGTCATCATTTGCCATCTTTGCATCATCACTACGCATCGTCTCCGATAGGCCATCTAGGTATCCAGAGTAGAGGCCTTGCCATTTCTTCCAGCTACGAGTCCATCAAGTAATCAATCTAGGGAGTCAAAGGTATCGATTGGGCCTTGATCGCCCCCTCGCCATGCATCCCGATGACGGGTCGCGCCCGACCGGCATCCTCAGCCTCTCCGTCGAACTTTTGGACCAGATCTTGCGGTGCTTCGACCACTCTTCCGTTGACCGAGGCGGGATCGACCTGGATCTAACTCACGAACAGTCGGTAGAAGGCCGCCGAACCATCCAGCACCTGCGGCTGGTATGCCGTCTTTTCAACAATGTGGCATCGCCAATGTTGTTCACGGTGCTGAGAATCTCTCTCGACAAGGAATCCCTGGACCGTGCTCAATCAGTTGTACAACATCCCGTCTTCGGAGCAAGTGTCAGGGGCATCCAAGTCTGCCTAGAATACCGCCCGGCGTCGCTATCCTCGGAGATGAGGGAGTATGTTGAGTTCCAAAAACGAGCGCTTGGTGACTACGTCAATTATCGGACGGGATCTGACGTTCGGAGTGGACACGTCCGGTCATCCGACGGGCGTTTTATCAAGGTTGATGGAGACCAAGAAAAAAGAGGCGAGGAAGAAAACTTTGCCATCTGGTCTCCAGGAGATGAAACCAAGGCTTTCCTGAACTTTCGGGCCTTCATCGCGGCCTGCGATCGGTTCATCAAACACCAAGGGAACATTTCTGGATCATCCGGGAGGTTGTTTGCTGTCAACGAAGGGCTAGTCGATCAGTACATACAGCTGTTGTTTCGATCCTTTTCCGAGTACTCGAAACGTTACGACGAGCAGATGGAGCTCATCATAAGCCGATCTTTTGTTCAGACTGTCGCCCAGATGGTGTCCCGCCTTAGACGTCCCGTCACGCTGCAAGTGGATGATGGAGAACAATTCGATCAAAAGCTGCTCGCACGCGGCCGTCTTGCCATGTGCCTCGACGATGAAGCGCTTTTCCGTTTCTTGGTGGCGCCACATAAATGGGTAGATGCCGATAAAGCCGGAGGCCCCAAGTTAATCACCCCAGCGCGGGTCGTCCCAGACTTGTCTGTTGCTATTAATAAAGCTGGGGGTGTGATCTCCCGATTTGAGCTCTCGTGTTTGCCTGACCCCCATCATTTTGATACAAATTCCTCTGAGAACTCAGACATTGGTGATCGCGACGCATGGGGTGATCTGCGAGAATCATTCCGAGAGCTCAAGGTCCTTAGACTCAAGGGGATGCCATTGAAGGCGCTTATGCTCAAGGGGACATCTTTTATTCAACTTCTTATCCAACGTCGACCACCTCTGGCGCGGGATAAGAGATACCTGGAGAAGTATTTGCAGATGATCCTATCCGGTCAATTTTTGGACGAATTGATATTAGACTTCTCACTACTCACTGGGCTTACATATGAGAATGGGGCAATCATCTGGTGTCCACTAGGGTCCATCCTCCAAACCAGCCGCCCACAAGCCATCAAGATTACGATACGATGCATGTCCCTGTCACAAAATGAATTGGAAGTTTTTTTCCAATCACTGGGTCCAAAGACCGAAAGTCTCTGTTTACAAGGCATCAATCTGGTAGACGGGAGCTGGATACGTCCGCTGGCTGTTTTGAAAGAGAGGGTAGCACCAAGATGTGTGCAGGGGACATTCGCTTTGGTCCTGAAAGACCTAACTGGTGCTGAACTGGGGCCGATGAAGAGAATGACAATAGGAGCTCCTCCTTTGAAGATCAACGAACGCGAGGCTATTGGCATATTGGAGGTAGTTACTCGGTATGTGACAGGTGATGGAGTGACGGAGAATCCCCTGCAAGCCGAAGCAGATCTTTCGGACTGAATGGGAAAAATTGATGATTAATTAGGTATATGAGATTATGAAGAAGGAACTGTCAAATTGAGTCTACTTTTAGTCAGAAGACTCGTACACGGAAGTGTGTCTGCTCGGCTTCTCCGGAGTGACGAATTAACCCAGGATTCTCTTGAACTCCCCATCCAAGCTCTGCCATACATTGTCCACAGCCCCCTCATCCCGGTATTTGGCAAGGCCGTTGAATGATTTAGAGCACACCTCACTTCTCTCATCGACAATGTAGACACCACTTCCCTGTACCCCGTCGCTCCCTTTTGCCACTTCAAGTTGTCCCTCAAGGGGTACCCCGAGGGCATCGTCCCCATCTTTAGGAGGAAACTGCGCACTCACACATAGAAACGTATGTCGCTCACCTGTCTCCTCGGGGCTGATCCACGAGTTTCGGTATCTCCACTGGAAGATGTACTTGAGCGGCCGCAACATCAGTCCGGATTCCTTTCTAATCAAGTTCGTCATCACCGGACCGGGGAAGCTGTGCACGAACGACACCTCCGGTGCTTGTCTCGCCAGTCCTTCAAGGCCGAGCGTCATGGTAGTGGCGGCGTGCTCCCGCCCGTGGGCAGGGTTGACCATACGGGCTGGGATATCATCGAGATATAATTTCCCTTCTTTACCACCTGCCATCACGGATACGACTCGACGGAGAGATTGGCCTTTGCGGAGAAGAGGCAAGAGGTTCTGCGCCATACGCAACCGTCCCATGATGGCCACTGCTGTAACGTATGGGAGGCCCTCCTCAGTGGCTGTAGGACATGCGCGGTTAGCATTTATCTCAATCTAGAGATTTCGTGCACATTGGCATGTGAAATCATGGCCACCTACTAGCAAGTTTCAGCGCGCCCTGGCTCATGAGTAGAATATTGATGCTCTCTTCCTGCTGCTTGATTTTCTCGCAGGCCTGGTCCACATTCTTGATGGAGCTGAGGTCGGCTTTAACGAAAATGTACTCCACTTCTGCATTTTTCTCCTTCAGCTGTTTCGTTAAAAGGTCTGCTTGCTCTTGTGAGCGACCGAGGAAGTAAATTTTGGGTCTGATAGCGTGCTCGACGAAATGAAGAAGGGTGAAGCTTCCGATACCTGCTGTGGCTCCCGCAAAAACGGCGACGAGATTGGGAATGGCCAATTTGGAATTGGTGCTCTTCACATCCTCGAGGGAAACCATGGTCAATATATGTTTTCAATTTGACCTCTTGAACGAGAAAGAGAGTATGTCTAAGAAGGTGGATTACATTACGATACGGGGAACAGCAATATGGCATCATCGTACTTGTATCATATTTATATGTACTTATCCTCACGCTCTCGCGGGGAGATTCTTCCCGCCGACATCAACATACCCCGGCATCGTCTTTGTGTTAACCGCAATAGGGGCCAGTTCTGGGATGTCCGCGTAGGGATCGCGGACGAGTCAAGCGGAGGAGTTGCGGAGTTTCGATTTCAGCGACCGATTCGGCTTGATCAATAGCCGACACGGAGGAGACGCCTGCCGACCTCCGACTCCCGCTCGCTGGCTTTTGGGAGATTTCGACTGTGAAGCTTTTGGAAAAAAAAAAAAGAAGATGCAAGACCCGACATCCCAATACAACGAATACGAAGAGAAAGGCCGAAAACCTTCATATCGATGACTCACTTCTGTTTATCTACGCTCTTTCGCCTGGCTTCACATTCGTCTGACACACATCCAAACACTTCAACACACCAAGCTCGAGTCAACCAATTTACCGTGTACCCTTCTCCCCTTCGCCAAAGCATTGACCCTTGGTGACCAAGGCCAGATCACTGCAGAAACCTGCAGTCATTGAGAAGAACAAGTAGGACAACATGACAAGAAGGGAGGAAGGGATCAGAGAAGATACATTGGTAAAACCTTTTCTGACCCCTTACTCCCTTCGCATCATGCTGCCCTACTTGTTCTTCTCTCTGACAACAGATTTCTACAGTGATCTATTTAGCCTTGCCACCAAGAAAGTGCCGAAACCAGTACTCATAAATGGCTGGCGAATTCTTGCCCTTGTCGGTGACGGATGGAAGACGAGTTTATGATGGAATTCAGGTGAAAGAGGATAGCTTAAATAGTCATTCGGCAAGCGGCCCGTGCTGAAAGCAGATAAGTCATCGGTATGCTTTACAGACTTTTCCTTCCGCATGACTATAGGTAGTCTTGAGCTAGCAAAGGCTGTTTTTTTTTTTTTGAACACTTTGGAACAAATTTTCGTATTCTTGGTGTTAAGGTGTCGGGTCTGGCATCTGGGTATCTAACTTTATACCAAAACTCTGTCTCCCGTGGGCTGGCAAAAGCTTCTGAAGAAACACAAGCCTCAGCTGCGTTTTCCTAGCAGCCCTCACACAGCCATCGTGACCTCCCAGGATCACGCCACGCATCTACCAGCATCATGGCTGCCGCCCGTATGGTAGGCTTGAAAATCTCCTAAAACGAATATTTGCGGAATCCCACCGAAGTTCAGATGCGATTACACGAGACAGTCACTTGCTAACACACTGGGGCGGATCAAAAGAGGTAAGGAGACGATCCACGCACACTATCAATCACAGTATCACCAATCGTTGAATAAAGAGTGAGAAAAGGAAGAAAATTAAAATCTCACACTGTCTCCAAACAAAATTTCTCGTATAAGCCACCAGCCCAAACAACTGCCCCCTTAATTAAAGTGTGACCTTGGTGCCCTTAATCTCAACAGTCCCGCTGAACGTGATCCGCGATGCCGTGCTACTGCCCTGGCGCCCGTGGAAGACGACATTCTTGCCATTAGGGTCAATGTCGAAGCCTCCAGGGCCGATAGCCTTGTACTTCTCGTTGTTCTTGCTGCCCGTGGCGATCAACACACCTCCCCACTTGAACGGGCCCGTCACCTCGTCGGCGTAGGCGTACTCGGTGTGGTACTTGCTGTTGGCGTAGCAGTGCGAGCTGTAGAAGAGGAAGAACTTGCCCTCCTTTGACTTGTACAGGGCCGGGTTCTCCGTCACGCCGTCGTCGTCGTAGGTCTCGCCGCTGGCGAACTTCTTGGGCGCGTTGGGGTTGTTGTCGCGGTTGTCCCAGATGGTCGTGGGCGAGCCGACGAGGGAGAGGCCGTCGGCCGTCATCTTCTGGACCTTGAGGGGCGTCGGCTTGTATTTGGGACCCGTGGGCGCCGAGCCACCCTTGCAGGTGGTCGCGCCGCCGAGGCCGTTGCCGTCGACCTTCCAGGTCAGCCAGCGGTCCTTGCCGTCGAAGAAGCCAGCGGCGTCGATGACGCCGCCGTTCTCGTGGTCGCAGACGATGGCCTTGTCGTAGGGCTCGAAGCCCCCGGCGGAGGTCTTCGAGGTGGCGGCTCCGATGCAGCGCTTGCCGTCCTTGTGCACGCCGCTGAAGTACAGGACGTACGAGCCGTCCTCCTGTTGGGCTTGGTCAGTTCAGGAGGCCGGTGATAGTTCGCTTGGGGGGATACGTACAAGCTTGACTACGTCAGGCGCCCAAAGGCCTGCCGTCGTGGCCCACGAAGGTCGCTTCTTTAGTGCATCGCCCACATATGTGAAGTTGAAGCCATCTTGGGCAGTGGCGTAGGGGATATTGTGTCCGTTGCTTGTGCCGTAGGCTTTCCAGGAGCCCTCGCCGTAGATGAGAGTCGGGTCTGCAAAGCTCTTCCCTTCCATCTTGCCGCAGACAGCGCGAGTAGAGAGTTTGGCATCGTGAAAGATTGGTTTGATGTTGGACAGAGACACCTCAACGGTGTCGGTGTTAGCCTCGGCGGTAGGAAGAGCAATGCTTGCCCCCACAAGGAGCGAGCTGATGAAAAGGCCCTTCATGATGGAAAGGAAGATCGAAAAATATAAAGATACACTTGGAAATAAAGATATGTCTGAAACCGAGAAAAGGAAACAAAAGAGTGTCAGGTGCCAACAAGGCTGATGAGAAACAAGTTCAATAGGACATGTTAAATCATATCGAGGGGCGTGGAAGCCCTTTATACAGGTACGCAATAGCCAAGCATCGCAAAGGAATGGCCATAATTGGGGTGGTCACAGCTTAGTGAGCATTGCTAAGTTCCAAAATAGCTCACATCTCATTCGGCAATGCCCTTAGTTGTATTATGCGAGAACAGTGCTTCGTTTAGAGTGTAAGGGAGCCCTGTTAGATGGACTGACATGAGTTCGGCAATGTCCCTGTTCGGAAAGCACTAGGCCTGCTTTTGTAGTTGTCGCGTGCATTGCCTGATCTGGGGCAAGGGGAAGGACTTTGGTGCTGGAGAGGGGCGGCGATCAACGTAATATAAAATTAGCTGCTCACCCGTTCAGCGTGGTGGAAATGGGACTTTGCATTTTGGAAAATGGCAAACAATAAAATACTGTACTGTAGAAACTGCGAGAACCTTGTGATATTGAGTCAAATCTGAGCAGTTGAAAAAACGTGCAGATGTGCTGGCTTCATATCGTTCCTCTTACGTATTCCCCTTCCGGCCGGTGGAAGCCTTGACGTAGAGCAGTATCCGTATGATCGAAAAGTAGAAAGTTTGATATCCTTTGATATTCGCATCTTATTCCTATATATAATTCCTCATTATGGCACTGCCTGTTTTGGAGTGATAAATATCCAAATTCAGAAGAATTAGACTCTCTACCCAATTCACTCGTGTTCGAAATGGACTCGTGATGATATAACCCTCATGCCTGCCTAGCTCAGGAACAGAGCAGATAAACCACACAAGAGATCAAGCAAAGGTCTCCTCTAACAGGTGAGAACAACAAGTCTTAGACGGAGAGAACTACTTCACGTAGCCCATGGCATAACTCAAACATTCAACTAAAGAAATTCATCTAGATTGTTTAGGTTCGAATAATATTTTCAGGATTCTTCTAGAGATACAGTCATCATTAAAACCAAAATCCAGACTCCCAACCATTCATTCAACCAAACGCCCAAACGTGAAAACATTACTGAGGAGTCCGTGCTGACCGCTCCGAATGGGATTGCAGGATGTCCGGAGCCAGCGATCCCGATTTCTCTTTATAGTAACAAAGCAAAGCGATTGACCAGTCCTAATAAAAATCATGATATCGCTGGAACTTGTGGTGCGCCGTCAGCCAAGATATGGATTCAATCAACGCGCTCCTCCATGCTGATAATAATAATCTCCCGGAAGCTCCATCGGCGGAGGAGCCCATCTTTGTTGTTGTGCTTGCTCGTATGGACCAGGAAACGACGCCGTGTACTGCTGGTTGAACTGATTGTAATAGTCTGGGCCTGTCGGATACTGCCGAGGTGTTGCTTGTTGGTTCATTACCGGGGCTTGTGCATACATCGGATGTGGTTGATAGTCGGGCGGATACTGCGGTGGCTCGGGAATCATGGACATTCGTTGCTGTGCAGGATTCTGCGATACCGGGCGATTCTTTTGCGACGGATCATTGGGGTTGAGCGTCTTGAGGCGGCCGTCGGGCGCCATCATTGCCTTCAACGCTCCAGAGTCAAGCAGCTCGGCCTTCCGAATGATTCTGTCCACCATATCCTTGGAAGCTGCCTTCGCTTGCGCTTTCACGAAGCTCACGATACTAATGTTGCATCGGATCTCGATGTCTTCGCGGAGATAGAGCCCATCCGCCGGGATGTCGAGTGAATCGAACCCGAGCTCACGATGCTCCGGCGGCTCTACCCCAGGCTGGTTCCCGGCGATGCGATAGCGAACGCGCATGTCTATGCCGAACGGGGCGTAGATGTGCGTCTGCAGCCCCCACGGCATGTCGTGGAAGCAGCCGTTGAACGTGATCTCCTTGGCCCCGACCTTGCCGGTGCCGGGGATGACCTGCACCCGCTCGTGGATGGCGTACCAGGTGCTGGACATCTCGTCGGGGGACGCATTGTCGGGAGGGCTGATCTTGGTGTGGCCCAGGACCAGCGGGTTGAGCGTGATGACTTCGGAGTGCGAGTGGAGGATGTCGAGGGCCAGGCGCCGGGGGATGTAGCTCGGGATTGGCGTCACCACCGTGAAGACTTCCTTCTTTTTGAGCAGCTTGGACATTTTGCTCTTCTCTGCAAGGTATTTGATCTCAGGCCGGGTATGTGTGCGCGCTGTGAACCGCCGCGACGGGTCGATAGGTGGTAGAAACTGGGTGGAAGCGAGGGGTATCGAGTGATTGATGTATGATGGAGAGGAGAGAAATGACGGCAAACGTCATCTATGGGTGATCATGTAAGACTAAGTAGAGGCCGTTGGTTTAGGACACGAGGAGCGGCGTGTCGAAACCATCCTTGCAGGCCATCATTGCTATTTCCAGCAGACTAAGGCGCCTGTGCTTACTGGCGTCTGCTGACTATCCAATCAGTATATTCACAGAGTCCAAGATGACGTTCTAGTTTCGCTCGGCTGCTGCTCAACCGGCGCTTACATTTCTAACCTGAAACGGCTCGGTCGATCATCGCCTCACTGCTGCGGACGGAACACTGCCCCCAAATCCATCCCGTCGGTCGACAATAATGCATATAATTAGACCGGATAAGTCTGTTCGCTATCAAGACTACGGGCGAACTCAAAGATGTCCGCTGTTGTATAACTGGGGATTCGCTGGAAATACCGCCATCTCTTGGCCTCGTCTGTCTGACCGACCTTGAGGATCTGCCGCGAGACCCAGATGAGGCCGGGAGAATTCCGTGCCACGCCCAGCCACTTGCGCTGGTCTTCTGGCATTCGCTTGATTGCAATATCCCAGAGATATTCCCACCGATCCAGCGCGCGGAAGATAGCGGCAGAATGACTGTCTGGAAACTTCGAGCTGTGAAGATTGTAAATGACTGGCATTAAAGCTATTCGAACGTTAGGAAACCGTGACCGAGGGGCACCGTGGGAAGTATATCACTTACCGCAGCTCATCGCGTGCAAGTGATATGGGCTGAGTTGGCTGGAATTCAAGTGTTGGGGCTCGGTCCAGTCATCGCTCATCAATTCGGACATTTGGTCGACCAGACAATGGGAGCTAATCGCGGTGTCTACTTTTCGTTTGTGGAAGTCCTCTTCTGTTTCAGCATCCCAAATTCTTGCGCTGCACGGCGACTGCACGCGCATTTCTGAGAGCAGCAGCAGGGGAGGATGGTTGGTGGACAGTGTCGCGAGGCAGTCGGTGTAGAACGTCCAGGAGGCGAGGCGGATCTTCAGCTCCTTTTCAATAAAAAATGGCCATGATTCATGATGGTCGTGTCTGATCTGTGCCAGGTTATGATCCCTTATGACCCTGATGAGCTTAGGTCTGTACTTGCACAGAAAGGTCCGTCTGGTGTCCTGATCTTTCACCCATGTACCGAGGCCAATCATCAACAATGCGGCCTGGCAGTACTCCAGCAAATCACCGATACCGGCTTCAGAATCTGTTTTCTCTTGTAATTTGCTGAAAATATAAGGCCCTGAAATGCTGTGGATGGCTCTTGCTTGGACAGCTGGGTCATGTTCAGCGCCAGGCGTGTGAGAGTACGCCGCGCCCGTCATCACAACCGCAAGAAGCAAAGGCAGGGGAGCCTTGAGAATGTCAAATGTTGGCCAATGGATAATAGGGAACTGATAATGCCTCTTGCGTGAGAAAGCTACTACAAACCCTCGCACACTCTCACTTGTGAACAGACTCTGAAAGGACGCGCGTTGGAAAGAGCGACTCAGTTTTGGTTTGCTCAACGAATACATTTCCAATTCCCCACAAAGGAGGTCGAGACGACCCTCGAGAGTATCGCCCGAAATGAGAGCCGCGGGTGATCCAGGGGCTCCAGGATCAAAGCCATCGTAGGCGTCATCTAGTGTCAAATAAGTGTCCAAGAATGGGTCAATGTAGTTGGAGAGGAGGAGCGCGGGGTCGACGAAAGCCATGCGTTCTCCTGTATTGCCCTCAGGTGAAATTCTAGTGGAAGGGCCTCCGACGTTGCTTTCTGGTTGCCGCGCAGCATCCCTCTCATTCTCAAACTCCGTCGTCGAATCAAGATTCCTGAGCAGGAAGGGTAGTCCGAGATCTGCGCCTCTTCCGGGAGCTGACTTCTTGGAGTCCACGGTCTCGGCTAGTGACTGGCGATGAGATGGGTCGCTGCAAAGCCAGCTGTATGAACAGTCCGTGCTCCTTGAGCTACAGCGTCCACAAGGCTTTTTCCCATCACACTGGACTTTCACCCTGGAGCATTGGGTACATGCCCGTAACTTCCGGCCTCGTCTGGCGAGTGGCGGCAGGGGTTGGTTTCCCTTCTGGGGGCAGGTTTTGGCATGTCTCCGGGCTCCATCTACTCTGCCAAACGACTTGTGGCAAAATGGACATTGATGCTGCCGGACTCCTGGCCTGGGGCTCTGGCCGGCCCTGTCTGCGAAAGGTAGCTGGCAGATGGGGCATTCCAAAGCAGCGAGATGATTTAATGCGGAGGAGATCATCCCTCTACTTACATACACCCTCCAAATTACTCAGCTGTCTCGGTTATCGGCTGCACTGGCAAAGCGTGACCACAGACGTGTAGAGAGGAAGAGAATTAGACATGAGTGAATTTCCCGAGGCTCGTTGTGCCAAAACGAAGTACGAAGTGGATCTCAGCACCGTGGTGGTGGGTCAACCCGGTGGGATATTCCCGACGCCGGGTCCTCGTATAAGAAGAATCACTGCTCACTTTCCCGGTCTCTTCCATTGGCCAATTGCACCAGATCTCTGACTGCCAAAATTCTTCGAGAATGGCTCTTGCTGGTCGATTGAAAAGTATGCCGAGCTGTACTGGATCCCACTACCATTGAGACCAAGCACTAACACCTGATATCTAGCAAGCCTCAGGGCTCCTGCCCTTTGCCTTCGTGCTGCGGCTGGCAAAAGAACTGCCGTCTTAGCTCCTTCTTCGACATGTTTTCAACGCCAGTTTACCCAATCGCCCTCATCCTCTCGACCTTCGCCGAACATGGCTCTCTCCACCGAGCAACGACCCACGAGTGTGGTCGAGCATGTGCTGTAAGCCACTCTCATCCCGGATCAAGAAACAGGAGAATAAAAACTGATTGGTGCTAGGACAACACTGGATCAGATCGTCGCCTGGGCTCGAAACGGTTCGATGTGGCCGTTGACTTTCGCCCTCGCCTGCTGCGGCATTGAAATGATGCACGTCTCCATGCCCAGGTACGACCAAGATCGGCTCGGTATCATCTTTCGAGCGTCCCCGAGACAGTCAGACGTCATGATCGTTGCCGGAACCGTGACAAACAAGATGGCATCGGCTGTTCGACAGTGCTATGATCAGATGCCTGAGCCCCGGTGGGTCATCAGCATGGGAACCTGCGCCAATGGAGGAGGATACTATCACTACAGCTATAGTGTTGTGAGGGGCGTTGATCGCATCTTGCCTGTGGATATCTATGTTCCGGGATGCCCCCCTACGGGAGAGGCGCTTCTCTACGGGGTTTTCCAGTTGCAGAAGAAGATTCGAAAGACAAAGGTTACCCGGATGTGGTACCGACGTTAACAATAGTATGAGAGTAATTGAGCTACTATTCAAGTTCATATAGAGATTGAAATGTCCCAAAATTGTTGTCAGACTGCAGGCTGGTGAACTTGGACAGAAAAATTGATACAAGAATCCCAATACTTCTAAAAGTAGAGGTTAGACATAGAAGCAAGTTTGCTCTTCTGAAGAAAAGGTCAACATGTTTCGCGATGTTTAGGGTAGGTGAACATTACACTTCGGCGATTGCCGGGAGTGATGAGATATCCGAGGGCGGGCCGCAGTTGGATCCGTCAAGGTTCCAGGATATGCATCTCCTCCTTGTTATAACTTCTTCGTGTTGGTGGATAATGCGGAAAGGCAGCGAGCAGCGCGTACCGATTACGAAACCGCGGACATCACTTGAGGCCTGACCTCATGGAGGAGACGAAGTTCGGATTTAACCAACTGATTGATCAGTGATTGTGGGACAAACCAACTTGACCAATGACAACATTCCCCGAGGATCTAAGATTAGATAGAGTAGAAAGCCTAACTATACTTGGTCTAGCGTGATGCAGCCTGCTCACATCCAATCTAAACCTAGTTTGGTGATGGCTTCATGCTCAGGTGTTAATCAAGGACGAGAAGGCTGAATTCAAATTGTATTTGCTTGTTGGTTGGTTAATTAGATTCGGAGTTAGGAGAACGAAACAGGCAGTTGGATTTCGCTCAACGGAATCCCAGAAACACATATATAAGGGGTGGCCAGTCTCACTCTACCCTTAGAAGTTAACAGAGCCATCAAAACCACCCATCTAATACCGGGCATTTCACACACTATTCCTGCCAAGATGACATTTCACCCAGACTCTCTTCCAAGCCTCTCAGGCAAAGTCTATATCGTCACCGGCGGTACCGCTGGCATGTAAGTAACTGAATTTCGATATTCCTTTCAACCTTCCAAAGCTCACTAGATCCCAGAGGCTACTACACAGTCGCTCGTCTCGCACAACGTGGCGCCCATGTATACCTTTGCGCGCGCTCGGAAGCCAAGGGTCAAAAGGCAATTGAAGGGATTCAATCACTCTATCCCAACTCTAACCTCAGCGTGCTGGTTATGGACCACAAGTCCCTGCCTACCGTCGTGGCTGCAGCCAATCTCTTCCTGACCAAGGAAACCGCGCTGCACGGCCTGGTGAACAACGCAGGCATCATGGCCACTCCTTTCGCACTCACCGAGCATGGCTACGAAGAGCACTGGCAGATCAACTATATCGCACATTGGCTATTCACCTCGCATCTACTTCCTCTGCTCCTCGAAACCTCCAAGACCCTTCCTGCCGGTAGTGTACGCATCGTCAACTTGACGTCCGGCGGTCACATGTCTGCTCCTAAACCAGGAATTGACTTTGAAGATCTTTCGCTGACGAAAGCTGCCCCGATCACCCGATACGGCCAATCTAAGCTGGCCAACGTTCTGCACGCCAAAACGCTCAACAAACGCTACGGGCCTGGGTCAAGCAGCGCCAAGAACGGAAAGGGGGAAATCTGGACCTCTTCAGTGCATCCTGGCATTGTAGAGTCGGAGCTAGATGACCGGGCCCTTGCGATGCCCTGGTACATGACCATCGCTTCGGGCGTTGCCCAAGCCATCGGGGCAAGATGGCCGACTGACAAGGGCGCGTGGACTCCTGTGTTTTGCGCCGCGAGCCCTGAGATGAAGCCGGAACAGAGCGGAGAGTACTTTGAGAGAATCGCCAAGACGGGAGGTATGTTGCAGAGTGCGAAGTCAAAGGATATGGAGCTGGCTGAGAAGTTGGAACGTTGGGTTGAGGCGGAGATGAAGAAACAGGGATATATCTAAGACGGGCGCGCTGATTGTCACCAATCCATCCCCTTGGACCTCTCTTCTCGATGTTAACTTTCTCATTCCACATCATAATTGTTTATTATTCTCGTTGTTGTCTCATTTCTCATTCATAAAGGATATTCCTTTCAATTTACAGTTCATAGCTGCGTGATGATTATGTCTCTTTCGTAGTAAATACATTGGAGGCATTGATGGCCATTCAGGAGCACCCATGTACTACGGCTTTCTAATTGGATTCTATGGAAATCTAAAAGTAGACAGTCGCTCACTTACCAACAAAAGTATGACGATATACATGAAGCACGATGTGGAAATTTCTAAAGAGGGGTGAAATATGGACGAAGTTAGGATTTCCCAACAATGATTTTCAAGAGCCTTCGCTTTTAGATAGTCCTATCAAGTGCCCAAAAATTCCCGCATGAATTTCAACGACTGTCTTTTTTTAAGGAGCCGGTCGTAGTGATATTATTACAGAGGGAATTAAACCTGTTATGGCAAGCAAGTGTTGAATCGCTGGCCCCTGGAAGCCACCTCTTTGTCACATAGCAGGCTGTGGATGACGAAGCGGAGGCATGTAAGGCAATGTCTAGAACGTCAGATTCAGTGGCCGAGGTCAAACGGCTCAACTATATGGCATCCAGTCGGTTGTCGACAATATCGCGAAGTATACTACCTCTATAAGAGGTCGCGATAGTCGCCAACCTCAGCTTTCCCGTTATGTCGTCCCCCGCTGTTATCCGAAGACGAAGATGCATATCATTGATAAAATGAACCTGGAATTCTTTATGCAATCAGAGATTAGGATAGTAGAAGGGAAGAGACCATTTGTTGAAAGGGGGAGAGATTGATTGAACCAATCGTCCAGAAGGGAGTGGGAGTGATTTTGCCAACCATTCATATTCCTATGTAGCACACTCAAGAACTCTGATTATCCTTCTTATCTATAAAATAGAAAAGAAGCTCGAATTAACAGCAGCAAGAAGAAATTTCTGGCGAATTTGACTTTCATTCATTCCTGGAAATCGTCAGAATCTCTGTAGAAACAACCTTGTCGAAGTACTTCTGTATCTCTCCAAGTCCTCCCCAACAAGTTAGCACAAGTTTAAACTCGCCAAGACCGTCCTTTGCCGTTTGAATGAGTTGCTCCACAGCCTTAAGGAAACCATAAAAACTGTCTCCCTCATCGTCGGAGAGTTCAAGCGCGTTGATGAAAACAACTACCACATGACCGCTGGGAATGACCTTCACTAAATAAGAAAAAAGCTGACAGAGCGCCTTCAGATCATCTCGATGCCTGTGATGTTTCCACACTTTCCATAAATTGAGATCAAAAGTGGTTTTCCTGAATAGCCATGTTAAGAGTCGGCAGACCAGGCTCACCATCATGGTTTCTGGTGTGGTGGTGCCTTCGTGGAGAAAATAGATTGGGATCGTATTCTCGGTGTTTTGGATCATATCTGCTATATTCGCTGAGAGAAGGCTGAGAACTTTCTTGATATCGCGTAACCTAAGGTCACCTCCATTGATAAGCAAGAGGTCTGAACGACACTTATCGAAGTAGAGAAAGTCTCTCAGTAGGAAATTTCTCAATCTTTTCCTTTTCATGATGATCTTGACAACTTTCATGCGCTCTTGATTTATGGTAGAGCCCATATCAGCAGTGGTTGGGAAGTCCTCAGAGGCAGTTTTGGGGTCAAACTCTAGTTTTCTCAAAAACCTTTTTGCCAATCTTTTACTTTTCGCGGTTTCTATTAACACGTTAAATTTGTTTTCATGGATGCTTCGATAGGTAGTTGCTCACCTCGTTTCTTTGATACAAAGCTTGTAGGTGGAGGGATGAGTTGCAATTCCGCCATCTTGATGATCGTGCGTGCAATATCTACTGGTAGTTTTGCATATGCATACAATGGTAGAATCTGGATTGCATTAGTTTATTCTTGCTGAGAAAGGAACTGGCTTTTATATGAGAGTTGTTTCATCAAAGATATGGCTCTTTCGTTAGATTTATAAAATAATCTTCCCAACACCTCTTCATAAAATATCAGAACTGTCTAGGCAGGGCTGTTTCAGTTGGCTAACTCGCATGTGGCTCAAAAGATGTTTCGTTGTGGTTGTTTGGACTAACCCCGCCTTTTTTGTTCTTGCTCACTGACATATTTAAACAAGGAGTTCCACGCCGTGAGTCTATGCCTTTGTTAAAGGAAATATGCATCACAAACTCTTTGTTCTGGATTGTCACTCTTGTTTCGTGAGCTCTTGTCCACACCAAATTCCAATGCGACTAAAAAATCGGTTGGAAGAAGATCATCAGGGGTGAAGCACGGCTTGAAAGGAAGAAGTTTGGTGGAAGAGCTTACAAGTCACATTTTGCGACTTTTCAAGGGGCTGTTGGTACTTGTCTCCAAAGACTCACAACTTTGACACTAATACAACTTGGTCATACAGATTAAGCACCTGAGAATACTTAACATTGTCTGAAATTCGAACATGCAGAAGAATAGTACGATGGAGGCGCGGAAAACAAATTTCTTTTTGATGAAACGTGGTGCCGACCAACATCTGCTTCCACAGTTCAACAGCGGAAACAATGAAATGGGGAGTATGAACAAGAAGAAAATGAAAGCGTACATACGTAACGTTCGGGAACTTGGGATCTAATCCATGAATAGTGGGAAGTCTTGTTCCCGATCTTCTTTTATATCCCTTGCAGATATAAAGGCCGAAACCCTTTGAGGCAACTACAAATCCTTCACCGAAGTATTTTTAAAAGACGTAAATAAAACAAGTCATGCAATTTTAGCTAGAACGACGAACTATAAATCTCCTCTTTTATCAGTTTGGCATCTCAAGTGACTATTTGACCTTGGAGTTGGTAGCGTTGGGGAACCTCTGCGATGGCGGAAAGGACAGTCACTCAAATCTGGAATTTTACTCATAAATCAAGCTCTGGATTTGGGGCTCATCGATTGAGAAGGATTGTCGCTCGACACCTGCGACGGCCCGTTTTGGCACAGAGAGAGTTTTCGTGGATCCGGGGGCGAACAAGCCATCTCTGTACGCATAGTGTAGATACACCATGGTCCCTTAATAGCCTCGGATTTTCTGGGCCCCATCGGATACTTTGCTCACTCTTTGTATGCGATCCAGCTGTCCATGCTGCGTTGCAACAAGGGAATGCTTCAAAAGGAACTAATATGCCTAATCTGGGTTGTCTGAGCAAGGATATAGAACACCCTTCCGGACTAAATAGTTCTTTTTTATTGAAATTGTTTGGAGTCACGGATACACATGCGGCGGTGGCGGAATTGAGCGTCACATGAACGCAACGGTACGTAGCTGCTCGTAAAACCAAGGTGCTCGGTGCAATTGTACCCTGGCAAGACATGACTGAACCGTGCAGTGATGGATGCCGTCACGGTGGGGTCTTTTCCCCTGGTATCGCAATATAGGCGTACGACCGTAGTATTACGGCCAACCAAGATGATGTACCAGCAAGCTTAACGCCGAGCTGGGACGACGACACTCTCGAAGGAGGCCTCTCAAGAAAGCAGCTTAGGTCAAATCCTATCCACTTCTTTCGACCCAACACCTATTGAGACCATGAAATAAAGGCCAAGATAAATCCGAACCTAAAACATGCCTATATCCCACTCATGAGCCTGAAAAGCCGAAGTGGCATTACGCTACAGTCAGCACGTAGGTGTTCCCAGTCGCTATAGTATAGTTTGAAGTCAATGTCTTGGCAGTTCATCTATTTTCTATATCAAGGCACAGGCTTCGGACTAAGAGGTATTATTTCTACTGCTGCATCAAAAATAACTATTTTGTCTCTGATCATGAGGGATCTTTGTGAGACCTAAATTACCTGCATGGTTCCCCATTAAATTAAAAAGCGGAGTTTATGAGCTTAATCAGTTTTGCAGCAGGAGTGGCCCTTCTTTCGTCCGTACTCTGATAATAAAGACATTAGTCAGGGCCAATTATCCACCTATCTAGGTTGCTTTGACCATGCATTTCTGACACAATATGATCAAATTCAGTAACTAGCTGTCCTGAGGTTACTCTTAAAAAACCTTGATTGCTCGGAACTCGCATGAAGACCCTAGCTTGACATGTGAGGAGGGCTACTATCTCGCAATAAGCCTGGGGTCGGCACAACCCCGATCCCGTTGATATCGAGAAATTGGGTGTGATTGCACCTGAAGTGCCTGTATCGGCTGACTTGATTACCCGTGTCAAGTAAACTGCCACCTGGATTGTCAGCCTGCCCCCTGAAGGGATCGCCACTGTTAACATCCTTATTAGAAATAGGGTGTGATTTAAAGTCTCCTTCTTGGCGATCCCCTAGTTAAGAACATGCACGAATGGTTGGTTAGCGCTGTGGTATCATTCCATGCTGACGGTGAACAGTTGTGTGCATTGCTTATGATTTGAAGAGAGAAACGGCAAAGTGCATACACAGTTGCCTCCAATCTAGGGGTGCCTCAAGGAATTACTATCAGGCTATTGGGTCTAGTAAATATGAATACCACTGCTCCTATACCCGGTTGTCCCCCCTTTCCTTCTTCTGGGATGCGCCACAGAGGTTATTCAATGTGATACAGTAGGCTAAGCTTCTTAGTCAATTGCATCTTGAATTACAATACGCGATACGCCCTGTTACACCTTCCAGAATCCGTCTGAGACTAAACCGATATAGTGTAACCACACCTTAGGCAGTAACAGGAGCGAATCCTTGGACGGAAACTGAAGGCCAGTGTCTGGTGACATCGGTTGGGAGCCTTCCCCACCAAGTAAGTGCTGATCTCCTCCCCTAAGCACTTGGTTAACAGGAAGCAATACACATTACCTTCTTTCATTTTATCGTGGTGAAGGTCTTTAACGGGACTGATGTTCTAGATTATAAAGTCAATTAAACATTCCAGCAAGCGAGAAACCAACGCTTGCTAGACCAACTTCATCTCATCCCCTTGAAACTCTTTGAGATTCGCTAG